GGTTCAGCCCTGTGAGCCTGGACATCCAGGAGAGACTTGGAGTAGAACCGCAGATCCTCCACATGAGAAGAGGTAATGACTAATGACCTGGACTTGTACCTTTCTGACTTGGAGGACTCCAAAGTGCTTTACAATACAATGCATTTTTCATCCATTCACACACACATTCACACACTGGTGTTAATGAGCTACATGATAGCCCCAGCTGCCCTGGGTCACACTAACAGAGGCAAGAGGCTGAGATGGTTTGGGGATTTGTTCACAGGTCCGTTTGGACGCCACCCAGGGAAGGTGTTTTAGGCATGTCCAGGCAGAAAGTCCTCTGGTTGACCAAGAACATGCTGGAGGGATTTTATCTCCAGGATGAGCAGGGAATGTCTTCAGATCCCACTAGTGGAGCTTTAAGAGATTGTTGGTGATAGGGCTGTTTGAGCCTTTCTACTGGGGTTACTACTCTTGCAACCTGGACCTGGATAAGCAGTTGAAAACAAGAAAATGGATGGTGTCATGTTGTGGTTTGTGTTTTTACCACAGTGCGCTGCAGAGTGATGAAGCTGGTAACGTCTGCTTCCTCATCTGTCTGGCCTTTATTTGGGGGTTTCAATGGGGATGGGTTTCCTGTTCATTGAGGTAGTTTCTATGGCATTCCATAAAAATCCGCCCAAATATATCTGTGATTTTATATCAGTTCTATTTGGTTTGTGAACATTTCCCTCATCAGACCTAGCTAAACACCACAAACTTGGCCATCATTCATGGTCTTCACTTTTCCAATAGAAATGGATATTTTATGTTCACTTTCATGTTGAATCCATAAACTGAAACCATCTTATGATGAGAAATGATGGAGTCGTAGCTGTTTTGATAGAATCTTTCAAGTAACTTCATAATATTGCATGACTCTGTTTGCAAAATATGTATTGTGAACAACACAACTACTATCACACCAAATACTGATGACATGATATGTTTAGTTGACTGAGTTTTAGTAATTTCTGTGTTTGCTAATGTTGATTCACTCTGACAGGAAAACTAGACTGACTACCAATGAAGTTAATGCCAACATTTTAAGTAAAGATCTTGTGTAATGTGTAATGCACTGACTTTAGGCTGGGACAACCAAGTCTCCACTACTACAACACCACATCCAGGCTCTTTTTGTGTGCGTTTTGGCCATTTTTGTGTTCTCTAAGGTCAGTTAGACGCGGCCAACTGGGTTTGTGATGTCCGGCCTTGCATCTCAGACTCAACCGCATTGCTTTCTGTGTCTCTCGCTGCTGACTCCTTCACTCTTGTGTTTTCCTCTTCTGTAAATCCACGAGCCCTTCTGGATCTGTTCTTCATAGTGTGCCTCGTTCAGTTTCATTCAGTCTTGTTTTTCACTCCTTTGTGTTGCGTCTCTGGATTTCTGCCTCAGTCACCTGCCTCTTATCTCTCTCGTCTTTGTGTTTGACCCTCGCCTGTTACTTGACAAATCATGTCAAGGATAAAGTTATTCATGGGCAGATTTGTGTACCTGAACCTGCTGGTGAGAGACTGAACTGATTGTTGTGTCTGAGTTGAACATGTGAGTCTTTGTGCCGCCATTTGAGTCAAACTGTCAATAAAATCTAGTGGTTCATCAAATTTTTTGCTAACTAATTCAGCACACACACACACACACACACACACACACACACACACACACACACACACACGCATAGGCAAAAACATGTGTTTTTCTTGTCAAGGAGTGGAAATGACCTTCATGTCACATTTGAAAAATGCACTTGTCAGAAACTTGATTACATAAAAAAATCAACAGAAAGTGTGTGTGTGTGTGTGTGTGTGTGTGTGTGTGTGTGTGTGTGTGTGTGTGAGTGTGTGTGTGTGTGTGTGTGTGTGTGTGTGTGTGTGTGTGTGTGTGTGTGTGCGCGCGCGCGCGCGTGCGCGCGCTCATCTTTACATGAAACAAACTACATTGGTTCAGACTGTGGGGATTTTAAAATACAGGACATTTCTTGTGTTTTCCCAGCGATGGCTCAGCTGTTGCCGTAGCGACAATGACAGTAAATAAGCAGAGGTGACTGCAAGTGACAAGGAGTTGGGTCTGGAGGAAATGCCTCTTCGTCATCTACCGCTTCACTTCCCTTTCTCAATGAGAGGTTTTTTACAAAATAAGTCTGTGGGAAACAGAAACAGACCACTAACTCAGTCTCTATTATTAATGCTTACTTTCAATATTCTGTCACACACAGTGCAGACAGACACACACACACACACTTAAAAAAATCCTGCATTTATGCAAATAACTTTCATCAGGAAGAGAACAGGATCATAAAGCAGTTTTGGCCAGCTCAGGATGTCGTAACAAAATAGCTGCACGTGATACATGATGATCCTTGAGTGTGATAAGAACAAACAAGGCAACCCTTTCAGGGGAAAAGTTGACGTTTTATACTTTGAGGAAGTACTCTGTAGTTTTTTTGTTGATTTACTGTAACTGTTCAGCTCATTTTTGGGCCTCTGATTTCTCCCCTAACCATACCTCTTGCACTGGCCATTGTGAGGACAAAATGTTTTGGGTACAGATTGTTTTCAGGGAAAAAGTCGGACCCTCCTCCCAAGGATACGGTGTAACATTCTTGCTTCGCGGCATGTGCCTCACAGATGACTCATCTGGGGGGAGTGTGAGGTTAAACCTGCAGGGGAGCTTTTTCACTTTGCAGGGATCAGTTTACGTTTCTGTTCTTCCAGCCCCCTCCCCCCCCCTTTCCTTTTCTCTCATGTCTATTTTTCTCTTGCCTGAGGTAAAAACACGAGGCCAGAACTGCATGGATGTGGATTCCACCTTTTCAGCTTACAGTAAAAATGACATAATACAACACATTTTAGACCGATGTTGGTGAGAAACTTGAAACTCTTGCATGCAGCATTATGATTTGGAGATTGCAAAATAAATAAAACATGTGAGTAAATAATTTTGCTCTGCTGGAATGAAACCCAAATGGGATTAAGTGGAACGTATTTTGCAATATTGCCAGTATTTAGCTCGTCTTCAGTAAACAACAACAAACCTCTGTGTTCTGTGGGTCTTGGTGTAAAACCACAAAGACGTTGATCACACCCGCCTTGTCAACAAAGCCCGATATCCACCAACAACAATCGTCCTACTTCCGTGTTATGATGCAGTTGCTTGTTGAACAGTCTGAGTCAGCAAACCACAGGAATAAATGAAAAGGGTTTCCCAGAGCAACAGCAGTCGTGTGCATTTTTTTTTCACCAGATTCACTCCCATTTAGCTTTGGAATAAAATTAATCACTTCTTCCACGTTTCATTCGGAAGCAAAACCAAAAACTCAGACGTTCTCCATCTGCTGTTGTCTTCCTGTTATCCTGGTGTTTCGTTTCTCAGCGTGTGGAAATTTACTGGACTTCAGATTTCTATACAGTGATTAACTTTTATGGTTAGCCTTTGCTCTCGCAGCATTGAACATTATGTACCACCTACTAATAAAAACAAAGAATAAACTTTTATGGCGCCATGGCAGATATTTACTTATTATCTTGTTATTTGACAACTCTCTGGTGAAGAGGCAGAATAGGAATTTAATTAAATACTAACATAATGGAAAATTTGGCAAACTGTGTTCATTTAAATCAGCGCACAAAACTACGAATCAGAGTAATAACAACAGCGTATTGAAGAGATTACAATTTTTAAGATAACGTTGAGTTAAATCGTGAATCCATTTATATAACACATATAAAGACAACTTTATTACAAGCAAAGTGCTGTAAAATTTGTGAAATATTCCCAAACAATTGCAGAATGAGCAATAAATGTGAGCTTCAAAACAATGAACCATCACCAAATAAATAAAGATAAAATAAAAATAAATCAACTGTCATTTGGACCAGAAAACGTGAACTTCTGCACAACTGGAAGCCTGTGATAAAAGGACTTTAAATAATAATTAACAATAATAAATTAGCATGTTAGGTCTCCCCTGAATAGCTCTGCCATTTCTGTAGTACGGCGATAGGGATCTTTATTGGAACATGAATGGCCTGGGCACTCTTGGAATACTGGCATTCCTAGCTAAATAACACAAGTGGCCCTATATTGGAATTTTAATGAAAGATGTTTGCAGACCCCATTCCTCTTCATCCAAACCTAGAAAATATTTTATTCAAGTGGTGCAGTAAGGGATCAAATGTACGGTAACACTACTACTACCACTACCACTACTATTACTTATTATTATTATTGTATTAATATTACTATTATTAATTATAAAAATAGAGGCGTACATTCCAAAATGTTATCAATTTAGCAGTAATTTTCATAAACCACTTACAGGTGAAACTTAAGAAATTGGAATATGTTGCAAAAGTTAACTTATGTCAGTAACTCAACTATAAAGGTGAAACTAATATAGACTCACGTTTAAAGCCAGATATTTCAAGCTGCTATTTGTTATTATTGTGATGATTATGGAAACCCCACATTCAAAATCTCAGACATTGAGAATATTGTGTAAAGGTTCGATGTTCTAGACTCGGTGTTACACTCTAGTCAGATAATGAACACCTGAAAAGGGTTCCTGAGCCTTTAGATGGTCTCAGCCCAAGTTGAATAACTGAAACAAACTAATTTTTCATCTGTGAACACAGAAAGTACAAATACATATTATTTCCTATCAACATCAGAATTTTATAACATGTTTCAAACATAAATGAAGAATGAAGTCACTGAGCACCCACTGTAAACAGAACGTGACCCCGTACGTGCCGTACGTTGGATCGTTTGGAACGTGCATGTGCACGAGCTCTAATTGTTGTTATTTTCGCGCGCGCCAGCCCAACAGCAGTTTAACATTCACGATGACGTACACACCACTTCGTGGCCTGGCCCGAAGCCAAGTAGGGCGGAGCTCTGACGTTGACGCACGTTCTCACCGTCAGGTTGGTACGAAGTTCGCCTCGCGCCGACTATATAAGGTGGCTCCTGAACCGTCTCGAACAGAAGTTACTTTCTGTAAAGAAGAAATTTAAGATAGGCATCGAGAAGGACTAGTACCACCGGACACACTAGCGTGAACGAAAGGACTTACTGAGATTGTCTTAAAACTCGATATATTTATTTTCTGTTGTTTTTTCTTTTCTTTTCGAAACAAGCTACCAGGAACAAAGGACACGCGGCGCGAACAGACTGAGATCTTTTCATCCAACAAGTCACACTTGAGTACCCCTGCCTTTGATCCTTTTATGCATTTGGATTTGACTTCTACATCCCGCTGTTCTACTATGGTCATCATGGAGGTTCCCACCATCAGCTGCGCGTCCCTCCATGGTCTGTTGGACGGAGACGCGCCGGGCTGCCTGGTGCTGGACTGCCGCTCCTTCCTCTCCTTTAACTCGTCCCACATATCGGGCTCCACCAACGTGCGCTTTAGCACCATAGTTCGCCGCAGAGCCAGGGGCGCCTTGGGACTCGAGCACATTGCGCTCAACGAGGAGACCAGGAACCGGCTCCTGTCAGGGGAGTACCAGTCCGTGGTGCTGCTGGACGACCGGAGCACGGACTTCGGACAGGTGAAGAAGGACGCCACGCTGATGCTTGCTGTTACGGCCCTGTGTCGCAACCCCTGCGGGGTCTGCCTGTTTCTCCTGAACGGTGAGAATCATTTTAGAAAGTTTTAAATCATAAGTCACACCGCTTGGCCTGGAGAGGCAAACAAACGCGGCTGTCACCAGCCACGCTCCGTGAATAGTTGTCCTCATTAATGGACACCAATGTAGCCGATTGCTGTCCTGTAATCTGACCCGGATGTTCTGTCTTTTTTTAGGTGGATTTGAAAAATTTTCCTCCCAGTATCCAGAGATGTGTACCAAGCCGTGCCCTCCTCAAGGTCTGAGCTTGTCTCTGAGCTCCAGACAACCAGAGAGTGCAGACTCCACCAGCAGTCCTTGCAACACGCCTCTGTATGACCAGGTTTGTGTTTTTATTTGTTTACGTCCTCAAACCTGCCACCAACCACGCAATCTTTATGTTGTTTACTTCCTTCTGCATTGTTTTTGAAAAGTGTTTTTGTTGCTGTTCAGGGAGGTCCTGTGGAGATCTTGCCTTTCCTGTACCTCGGCAGCGCCTACCACGCTTCCAGGAAGGACATGCTGGACATGCTGGGGATCACTGCCCTGATCAACGTCTCTGCCAACTGTCCCAACCACTTTGAGGATTCCTTTCTCTACAAGAGCATCCCTGTGGAGGACAACCACAAAGCAGACATCAGCTCCTGGTTCAATGAGGCGATCGAGTTTATCGGTGAGCACGCACAAAACAAATACACAAACAGCCTTTTTCACCCAACAGAATGTAGGCGCCGACCACAGCTGCTGCCATTCAGTCTGTTGATTGTGAGCAAAACAAACGCCCAACCCCCATCTTCCTTCATGTCTTTCTTTGCCTCCAGGATTTAAATTTTTTTAAAAGTTCCCTCCAAAACCCAACCAGCTGGCTCCATGAAGGCCCCCTGCTTTCATGACAAAGGTGGTTACATCATCACCGCCACCTCTGAGGCATTGAAAGAGGGATGCCCCCCCTCATTTTTTTTAAATGAATTGCAAGACAGCAGCCCTGAACTGTTTAGTAGTCGTTTTTGTGGCTGTGCCTGAATAGCTCCCCCTTTACAAGTTTTTGTTTGGGTCGAACAAAAGGCAATTTCTCTCCACTCACAGTCACCCTTCCTGCCACTTCAGTCCCCCCAGCAGGGGTCTGTTCCCTCCTTTTGTCCTTTCATTACACCTCCTTTGGGAATAACCCCCATTGGTTCACACCCTGCTCAGCTATTAACTGTTCCTGCGTCCTGATGAGCACCTTTAAAAAGGAAATGGCAAAGGGCTTTTGTGTGTTGTTTCCTGTGGAAAGTTCCAACTCTGTTTTGTTTGTTCATCTTGTTTACATCGCTCTAATCATGCCCTCTCCTCCTTCCTCCAGACTCTGTGAAAAGTAAAGGAGGCCGTGTGTTTGTGCATTGTCAAGCAGGCATCTCCCGATCCGCCACCATCTGCCTCGCATACCTCATGCGTACCAACCGCGTAAAGCTCGACGAGGCCTTCGAGTTTGTCAAGCAGCGCCGCAGCATCATTTCACCCAACTTCAGCTTCATGGGTCAGCTCCTTCAGTTCGAGTCCCAGGTCCTGGCCTCCTCCACTTGCTCCTCGGTGGCGGGCAGCCCGGCCATCGGCAACAGCAGCACGGTGTTCAACTTCCCCGTGCACACGTCTACAGCTCCGCACTCCTTCCTCCACAGTCCCATCACAACCTCTCCTAGCTGCTGATGGGAGTATTTGGACTTAGTAACTCATAATCCACAGTGATGCTGGTGTCACTGGACAGTGAATGGTTGGGTGTGTGTGTGAGTTGTTAGTAACTCCTTTTGTCAGTTGGCCTTGTCATTTCAATGGTAGATGTGACATTCACCATGAGACCGTTTTGATCTTTAACTTCCATAATGTGAACCTATTTCCAGGAAGCTTTTGGGAGACGATCCTGTTTGGGGAAATCGTTTTTTATTTAAAGGGACTGATTGTTGGAATTTTGATGAAGGCTTCAGATAATCACAATCAGAAACACAACAGAGAGGCTATCGGTTATCTCAGGAAATGTTTACATAACCTCTCCAATGTCCTTTTTGCTTTTGGCACATGCAAAGAAAGCAACAGAAACCCAACATGACGTGGATCATGTGAAGCTGATGGAATGTAACCCCCCCCCCCCCTTTTTTTTTGTTTCTATGTGTCATAAACCTTTCTGCTCATCTGTAGCAATGAACAGGTTGCTGATTAGCATCCAAAGTTGTTGACGACTGACTGTCATGACCTGTTTGGTAAAATACCTCATGTTTTCTGAACCCCGGGACCCACTGAAATGGGCCCACAGTGTCTTTATTACTGCGTTATGACATATTTATTAACTAAAGTAATATATTTCTTTATCTATTTTTACAAAAATGTTTTTTTATACATGTGAATAAATCTCAACTCTTTGTAAAACTTTGAAGTTTCTATTTTTTTTTTGTTGTTGTTGCTGAAAATGCACAACCAGCCCTGATATTGAATATAAAGCGTGATGAATGTTCTTAATCCCTAGAAAGTCCAGATAAAAGCAGAAAGTGTGTGTTTGTGTGTGTGGTGGAATCCTATCGTGTGTCTGCAGAAGGATAAATCAGGCGTGATGTCATGGTTTCAGCCATTGTTCAGGACACACTCTGAATGGGAACCCAGCTGAGGCCAGGCCACCCGCAGGAGTCTGCTCTGCTCAGGCACAAAAGAGGCAGCTGCAAGGCGTTTGGGAAAAATGGGACAACCAAAGAGCATTCAGGGCTCGGTCAAGCTCCGGCCCTGTGTCTTTTGCATCCACCCGCTGCAGAGGAGGCAGGGCAGAGATGTCCGTGACAGGGAAAGGCGTGTTTGGGTTGCAAATTCCCCCCCCCACCCCTAAGTTTGGCTGGGATCTGCAGTTGTGTGTGTGTGTGAGGCAGAGAACACGTAAAGAGTTCTTTTAGAGCTGTGGAGGATTTTAGTACAAAACAACCTTCTGGTGTTATTGATAACATAACATATAATCGCCTAAAAACCCACTTCCTCCGCTTGGCGTTTCCTGAACATGTTTGAATTTGGCCCTCTTTTGTGTAGATTTTATTTAACAGTTTTCATTGGTTCATTCTATCCCTTGTTTTACACATTTGTCCTGTACTAGAATGTTTCACCTTTTTTGTAATTTGTAATCTGTAATTTGAATTGCTTTTATTTTCTGATTTATTCACTATATTTAACTTTCTACTGTACCATGTTGGCTTCCTGGCAGGGTTGCGGAAGGCGCTTTATAAATAAAGCTTTGATTGATTGAATGATTGATTGAAGCTACAGGGGAAATGGTCAAATTTGACTCCTCAGGCACGATGAATGTCTCTGTAATGGCAACATTCACAGTGATGAAGCATCACTGATAAAAGGCCCATTCAGTTCCCCAACAGCCCCCCAGACAAGCTGTTAATGTGTTGACATATGTGTGAACCCCCCCAGTCCCAGTCACCCAACTTGGCTTTTGTGGCTCTAGATTTCCTTTTGTAGAGACGGAAGTGGGCCGAGTGTGAACGTCATCAGGCATTCATTAATATAAAAAAAATCCCAACCCTTTATTCGTGTTAGAGAGTTGATAAGCTTTATGAACTGGAATCCATCTGTTAGACTCAATCCCATCTTTCTCTTTGCTTTTCCACATTTCCAGCCAGAATCTTTCACAATACCATTTGTAAGTTTCACTTACTTGTCAGATGGCTCTGCCATTTAGCAACTTCCTCATAATCAAAGCTATTTAATTATCACCACCCTGAGGAAACAATTGTTATTTCATGTCACAGCAGATAGCAAAACCCATCTGTGTGCTCACACACACACATGGTTTCAGCAGCATTCTATTTCAGGTTGGTACCAAGCCCCCGTTATTCTGGGATGAACATGACGCCAGCACAGGAGTGGCAAAAGTTGCAGTTCCACCCCCATCTGCTATAGGGGCTGGCATGAGAAGGGGGCAAATCCTCATTGACTCCCATGTTAAAAATGCGAATTTCACAGTAGAAATAAACATGTTTACAGCCTGGTTCAAAACACCATTTTAGGTTTAATAGGTCTAGTTTACATAACTCTGAGGGGGTGGCTTTTTTTTTGTAACTCTTCTGTTTAAGTGTAGTTAAAAGCTTAAAATTTGGAATAAATATTGAGCATCTGAGCCACGTGTGTTCAGAGCTAGATCCGATGAAAAGCCTCAGCCTCACATCGTTGTAGATGTTCGGCTATTTCAACTCTCTGAGCTCTGGTTGTGTCTTCTGTGTGTTCGTGTTTGGATGTTAATCATGGCATTATTCGGACACAGAGGCCAAGCTGTGGTTATTGACTGCACTAACAGATCATCCAAGCAGTTTCTGCTTCTTCATATCAGTAAGTAAAATTTAATTTGTATACTTTATTTCGCTGGTTGAATGCAGGGTGCTTCCAGAAATTTTCGATAAGGGTGGCCAGACGGGACCAAAGAAATTTTGGGGTGGCACAACAAATTGGTCCTTGTCGTAACTCTGGGAGAGTTTAACCAGCGGCAATGCACTGCATTGCTCCTTTATTTGTTTTAAAAAACAGTATGTGTCCAAAACACTTAGCTCAAATTTTACAAACACAAACATTTCAGAAAACTACATTTCAGTTATTTCAAATGTTATTAAAAATTTTTTACTAAAAATGCTAATGTGTTGACATACTTCAGTTGGTTAAATTTTCTAATGGTTGAATGGTGGGAAATGCTGTGCCATTTAACTGCTTTGTAACACACGTTAGTGGGGCTGAATAAGAATCTTGAACGAGTGCCTAGCTTCTACTGTTTCCTGCCTGGGAACAGTTGCTAGAGCAAGTGGCTGGCTGTTCCCATTTCCCGGGGCAGCCGGGAGATGCGGACTGCTCAGACGCAAGGCTGTAGTCATGCTGGTCACTTTTGGATTTCTGAGGGAGACCACAGAAACACCATAGGTTTTTTTGGCCTAGTCCACACGTAGCCGGGTTTTTTTAAAAACGAATATCCGCCCCTCCAAAAACTTGCATCCACACCACCTCGTTTAAAAAAAAACACTGTCCACATGTACCCGGATAAATACGTTGTTAAGGACATGCCAGACCTGTAGGCGGCAGTACTTCCCCCGTTCTTAACCTCGTCCTTCATCTGTGGTCTTCCGCAAGGAGCAGTAATTCCGCTTGAAAAAACAAACAAGCAAAAAGCGCTTGGACAATTGATAAAGCGAGCGCAGCTCTGAGGGCATCCATGCTGTCGGCTAGGTCGCACACGTGATGTCAGCATTTTTTTGTCGCGGAAAGTGACGTTGCGGACCTTAAAACTCCGGTTTTGTCTGTCGACACGCAGACACCCAAAACGGAGAAAACGCAGATCTTCACTTTGGCCGGAGTTTTTAAAAAGATCCGTTTTCGTGTGAAAAAACTCCGTTTTCGTGTGGATGACAGGCCAAAACGTAGAAAAATATCTACGTTTTGGCAGATCCCCAGCTACGTGTGGACAGGGCCTTAGTTGACGCTGCTTCACTTTTTAGTCCCTCAATCACATTTTCTCGCTAATAGTTTGCTGATTGAATGGGGAAAAGTTATATGTGTTTACCAAAACACTGCTTGGTCATTCGGCTCCCAGCTTCGTGTCGACAATTGCAGACTCACGGATCTTTGACAGCAATGGATCAGCGAAGCCCGATATCCTCGGTCAGCTTACCTAGTTACGATTTCATTTCTAAGCAGGCCAGAGGTGCCTTCACTTTAAAGTTGCTCTACCGCATTTTTCTTGCTAAAAATGCTTGGAAAAAATCTGTTAGCTTCGGGTTAGCAAGTAGTTAATGTCCCGCTGATCTCCGACCGTGGAGTGGAGCATAGCTGATTTAAAAGTCCACGACACCCGGCTACGATCACAAAAGTCTGAGGCTCTGCTTGTAATTTAACAGTCCCAGTCCATACTAGATCTCCACAGGCAACCTGCAGTACTACAGCCTCGCAGGGACGCCAGTCGGTCGTGTGGATGTGCTACCCCGGAGCCCCTTCATAGCTTTTTGGGTTAGCTAAGTTAGCTAGTAGCTACACTGGTTAATTTGTTCCAACCCTGTTCCAAACGTAACAGCCCCACACTCAGCTCCACCTCTTTGCCTATTTTTGGATTGTCTGGGCATTACGAGATGTGTGACATGGTCAAAAACTGAATGGTGGGAACCTCCCATTTGTGGCTTCAACTTGCCCCCCTCAGAACAATGGGTGGGCTATATCCATATTTTTATATGTCAATGGTTGGTACTCATCTCTAGGGAACATTGTAGATTATTGGTCTGTAGTAGTGTGTGAGCTCAACTGTTAAAACTTATCTGCAAGAGTTGAGTAGAAACTATGTTCTATCATGTTCAAATGCATGCGAAGGGTACTGTAGGTGAGTTCAGCATTTGTGAAACTAATAATTATGTAAAAAGTAATCTGCTAACAGAAATAAGTACAGAACAATACGCTATCAGGAACAGGAAATGAGGCATCAGTCGCACATAGTATGCTGTCAGTCAAAAGTGATAAGTGAGAAACATTCATCCATTCATTTTCTGAAACCGATTGTCCATGTAGGGTCGCGGGGGGGGGGGGGCTGGTGCCTATCTCCAGCAGTCAATGGGCAATCAGGCAGAGTACACCCTGGACAGAGAGCCAGTCCATAGCAAGGCAACACAGAGACACACAGGACAAACAATCATGCACACACACACTCACACCTAAGGACAATTTAGCTGTAATGAGTAATATGCCAGCTGTAATGTATAATATGCTAGTTGTAATCAGAATCAGAAAAAGCTTTATTGCCAGCACTCCAGTGAACCAAAGCATAGGAACTTGACTCCGCAGCACAGCCTGACCAAGGTTACACACACACACACATGTAGACAGAACAGATACAGGCAGACCACAAGAGCTGCCATAACGTGTAATATGCTAGCTGTAATGTGTAATATGGTAGATGTACTGTGTAATATGCTAGCTGTGATGTGTAATATGGTAGATGTACTGTGTAATATGCTAGCTGTAATGTGTAATATGGTAGATGTACTGTGTAATATGCTAGCTGTGATGTGTAATATGGTAGATGTACTGTGTAATATGCTAGCTGTGATGTGTAATGTGCTAGCTGTAATGTGTAATATGGTAGCTAATTCAAGACACTGGGTTTTGGATTTAAAGGAGCTAATCCTCACCCCATTTGCTTCACACTTGACTGCGAACCGCTCCAGCGAATGCTGAATATCTTGGTCTGATGAAGCCAACAGATCCACATCATCTGTAAAAAGCAGTGACTCAAAATAGATCCCTTCAACATCTTGGTTGCGCCTAGAAATCCTGGCACTGAATAGGTGATAAAGGGCAGCCTTGGCGGAGTCCAACTCACCGAGAACAACTCGACTTACTGCTGACAATGCAAACCAAGCTCTAACAACGGTCATAAAGGGACCTAAAAGCCCTTTTCAGAGGGCCTGGTACCATGAATGTGTCAAATGCAGAGAAAAGAAAATGACCAAGAAGGTCAGTAAAGTATCTCCAAAAACATCAAAAACCAGTAATGGTAGCAGCCAGCTGTGCTAAATGCTAACAGTAGCTTTATGATCATCTTTCATTTGTTTTATGGTATTTATGATCATTTTATAATGATGTGACTTTGTTTTATCTGATTTTAATTTATTCCATGAGGCTTGCTGTTTTGTCTGTAAGATCATTATGATTTTGTGACTTTATGATTTGTTTTGTTGATCTCTGTGAAACACTTTGTGATTCTCTTTCTGTTGATGAGTGCTATATGAATCAAATGTACTCACTTTCTTATTACTAGCTTGTACTTAAAAAGCAACAAGTGATATTCAGTCGTGTTTTTTATGTTTCTCTAACAGCACTGCAGTTTGTTGGTATTTTTATTTATTAAGATACTTTTTTGCTGCTGTTTATTTACTGTTGAGAAAAGTAGCTAAATCCTTTTGCCATTAAGGAGACGGGTATGGCCCCTCTCAGTGAGAAAGTCCCAGATTCAGATCCTATCTACATGGAGCAAGCATGTTCTCCTCATGCATGTGTGGGTTTTCCCCTCCTCTTGTTCCTAGGTGCTACTATATTTAATGGTTGATTGTTTCTGTGTAGCTGTGACACTGGTCCCACCAGCTCCTTGCTACCCTACCAAGAGGGAAGCCTGTCATACATAAGATCGGGTCTAAGTGGCTACTTTTAAACATATTACTTTAATTTACTACTGCTGTAAAGCACATTGAGTTGCCTCTGTGTAGGAAGTGTG